ACATTTTAAAAGCAGTTTCTTTAAATGTGTATATGTGTGATTACTGGAGAATGGGATAAGTATTTTTATTGTGAAATCCAAAAGTGTAAAATTCAAATATACCGGGAAACAACTGAATAAGTATTTCTTAATCCATCATTTTAATTGTTGCTCCCCTTTGACCGTAAATAGATTTATTCAATATTAAAGACCTGCTTAGCTTTTCAAGTAGGCCCTATACCTTTATAACATGTATTTGAAAGACCACAGCAAAGAGTTGTTTTTTCCCACGTTTTCTTTAACTTGCTTTCTCTGTTTGTTTTTCCAATCAAATCTTGCGATCGAAATTTCTGGCACTTCCCAGTTAGCTAGCGCGCTGAAATTTTCAGGGAAGCTTTCTTTTGGATGACCATAGAATATTCAATTGTTATTATTACTAAATTGATCAATGGAAACATTTTATTGAGCATTTTAGACCGCTATATAATCTATATATATAATTCTCCTCTGCGAGCCATTAGAAAAAAAACGAGCGACGCCTCTCTCTTGCCGCGCGCAGTGACGCGAAACGATCCCACGTCGCGACAGGCTTAGGGGCAGATAATTTAGTTTGAACCGACTTTAAACTTACAGGAGGTAACTATTACCACTGGTGGCCAGTTTGGGGGAGACGATATGGTCGAGTGGTTGGGCACACGATTGCTATCCCACTCGACACGGGTTCAAATCTATGTGTTCTAGTCAGTAACCAGCCCTCGTCCTAACCGCTATCAACTAACCTCTGACAATCATTCACTTGCGATTGAGACCGAAGAAGAAAGGGTCTCTCGTTTTTTACGAGTTGTCTTTTTACGAGTTGTCTTCGTTTACCCAAAAAAAGTGAAAAGATAAAATCGATAGCAAGATTTCAATGCAAACAAACAGACAAAGACTAAAAAGTAGAAAATAATAATCATTAAAAAAGTTTTAAAAAACCCACGTTTCCTGATTGAACTAAAAAGTAGAAAATAAATACTATACATCACAATAATGCAAGCGATCACTCTACTATAAGCGATGAAAAACGTGGGGTGCCGTGATTTTCTTACAGTTTCTAATACTGTTGACTCTCTACAAGCTCCCTAATAAAAGTCAATAGTATTATCTAATCAATAGTAATATAACTTTTACTTCGGCGCCCCACGTTTTTCATCGCTTATAGTAGAGTGATCGCTTGCATTATTGTGATGTATAGTAATTTATTTTCTACTTTTTAGTTCAATCAGAAAACGTGGGTTTTTTTAAACTTTTTTAATGATTATTATTCTTTTACAAGTTTAATTAAATTGTTTATCAGAAAATAAACTAAAAAAAAACTATATAATCCATCGTCATGCTTAAATGAATTCGAATCTAAGTAGACTTGATTTAACGGTTGTATTATACATTGTGTTACATCACATTTTGTTAAATTTACAATGCAACATTAAAGCAAACTTGTATATCATACGGCCAGTTAAGCAGAAAATTTAAAAGTTCATTTATTTGTTCTACCCATGACTTATTGTGCTATTGAGTCCATTCGGAACACCAAGTAGAACTTTAATTCCTCCAAACATGTCCTTTACACATGAGAGATAAGAATATGTACACCAAAGAACGTACTCAAACCTGGGATTTAAACTCGTGCTCTTGGGGACAAACTGCTTGTATTCCATCACTCGAACATGTCGTCCCATGTATCCAGTTGATTTTTTAAAGTTCTGCTTTACAGTTATAATTTTTGAAATATTTGAAGTGTTTTATGTTTTACAATAATACTAGTTAAGTAGCCTATACCAATGCGGGTCCATAAACTTTTAATTAAGTTATTCACAAAATCACCATCAGATTGTTCAATGATATCTAGTAAATTAGAATGACAACAATTCTTACATAACTGTTCGTCTACCACATCAATAAGATCTCATTTTACATTTCAATTGGAGCAGGTCTAGAATCGTCGAAATATAAAACTACACTACCTGATGTTCCACTTTTTTCAAATGTTCTTATCCATCTTAGTTTTACAGGTGTATTAGACTTTAAAAATGTGACTTTGTTGTAAAGTTTAAACTTACAACCCATGACAGCCAATCTACTGCTGGTGACACACCGTAAGGGTGACCCAATCTACTGCTGGTGACACACCGTAAGGGTGACCCAATCTACTGCTGGTGACACAAGGATGGCCCAATCTACTGCTGGTGACACAAGGGTGGCCCAATCTACTGCCGGTGACACACCGCAAGGGTGACCCAATCTACTGCCGGTGACACAAGGGTGGCCCAATCTACTTCTGGTGACACAAGGGTGGCCCAATCTACTGCCGGTGACACACCGTAAGGGTGACCCAATCTACTGCCGGTGACACAAGGGTGGCCCAATCTACTACCGGTGACACAAGGGTGGCCCAATCTACTGCTTGTGACACAAGGGTGGCCCAATCTACTGCCGGTGACACACCGCAATTGTAATGTGACTTTGTTGTAAAGTTTAAACTTACAACCCATGACAGCCAATCTACTGCTGGTGACACAGCGCAAGGGTGGCCCAATCTACTGCTGGTGACACACCGCAAGGGTAATGTTTTGGGCTCACAGTCACCACCTAAGTAGAGGATGACACGACTAACAGTTGAGCACTCTATCTACTGCTGGAGATGCTGACTTGTATATGTCGCTCAATCACGTACACAGCCCACCCCCCCCCCCCCATGTGTCTCTCGGCATTCACACCACATGCCTGACATCGTGTTACACTTTCTCGGACATCTGTGTTGACCATACATTGAGTGGTGTAAGTAAAACTATTTAACAGTTTCTAAACCCGAGTTAGAAAGGCACATTTTGATACTCAAAATGCTATTTCATCTAGAAGTTTTAAATGTTTGACAGCTTTGCTGTAAACGTTCAATAAAACAAATCTACAACTGTTGCTATTGAGTAACTCTACTTCATCTGTTCCATGTGCACTATACTCTGTGACGGTAACAATGTGTTGTACTTATCTTGTTATCAATTTAATTCGCTCTATTAAAAACATTATTCTCCTAACAACAAAGGAACTGCTTACATTGCAGGAACTGATGTAGGCTGAAACATTGGAAATTGATTTAAAAGAAAAAACTGCAAACAACCGACCGTGATGCTAAAATTGACTGAATTTTATCCCAGAATATGGACTGTCATTCAAATATTTTAATAGCATTTACTTTAAATTTATATTTTGCAAGCTGGCGGGTGAATAAGAATATTTTATGGTGAAATACAAAAATGTAAAACGTCAAATTTAATAAACGGGGATACAACTATGTAAATACTTTTGATTCAATTATTTTCATTGTTACTTCCCTTTGACCATAAAAACGTATATTGCAATTTAGAGATCGCACGGTCGCTTAACTTTGTCCAAAAACTTTTATTTCATACACTTGTTTTATTGTTTTTATCACAATATCTTACAGAGTGTATACTTATGAAACAGATGTACTTACTTGCTTAAACCTCGCCCCTTCCTGTGGAGTATAGGTCAGCCACAAATCTCCGCCATTTCACTCTGTATTGGGCGAGCCACTTCAGTTCATGCCAGGTTTTGTCAGTACCCAGAACTCCTTCCATCTCTCTCATCCATGTTCCGAGTGGTCTTCCTCTCTTTTCCATGTGGAGTCCATTCTAGTGCTATGTTCGAGAGTCTTCTTCTGATATGCGAAGAACATGAAACCGATAGAATCCCTAATTAATCTACAAGTTATCCTGAAAAATGTATCGATATTTCAACCTAAGTAGGATTGGTGTAACATTTGTGTTAAACATTGTTACTTATTATATTTAAATTGACCAACAACTTTAACTAACTTGCATAGCATGCAGGCAATTTGGCAGAGAAAGTAGAGTTTATGTGTTGGTGCTATACCCATGACTTATTACGTCATTGAGCCTACACAGAACACCCAGCCGAATTATTTTTCTCCAAACATCTCCACGAACACATCATATTTGTGCATCAAAAAAGGTAATCTAACATGGGAATCAAACTCGTGTCATTGGGGATAAAATGCGTGTAGTCTTTTACTCGATCATGTCGTCCCTTTTCTCCAATTGCGTTATTTATGCCACGGTTTACAGTTTTCATGTTTAAAAACTTTTTATTCCGTGTTTTACATTTACACTAGTTGTTCTTTCACTGCCGATCTATCAACCTGTGCAAAAGATGTTTTACAATATCACAGTCAGTTTGTTCAAGGATTTCTAGTCAATGACAGCATTGTTTACACAAATGTCAGTCAATGTCAGCAGTGTTTACACAAATGTCAGCCAATGTCAGCAGTGTTTACACAAATGTCAGTCAATGACAGCAGTGTTTACACAAATGTCAGTCAATGACAACAGTGTTTACACAAAAGTCAGTCAATGACATCAGTGTTTACACACATTTCAGTCAATGACAGCAGTGTTTACACAAATGTCAGTCAATGTCAGCAGTGTTTACACAAATGTCAGTCAATGTCAGCAGTGTTTACACAAATGTCAGCCAATGACAGCAGTGTTTACACAAATGTCAGTCAATGACAGCATCGAACTACTTTTTCACATTTCTATTGGAGCAGATCTAGAAGCGACGAAGTATCTAAATATAGTATGCGATGTGTCAAATATTTTTAAATGATTAGAATTCCTCATTTTTCTAATTATCTCATTTAAATTAGTCTTACGGGTGTATTGAGCATAAACAAATGGACTTTGTTGTAAAGTTTAAACTTACAACCAGGCGCGAACATCGGCATCACAACTTGCTCTGTTTAACAACAACTTAAACATCAACAGACAACAACTTAAACATCAACAGACAACAACTTAAACATCAACAGACAACAACTTAAACATCAACAGACAACAACTTAAACATCAACAGACAACAACTTAAACATCAACAGACAACAACTTAAACATCAACAGACAACAAAGATTAAAATAACAACAGTAAAAAGATATTTTCTATTACCATTTAATGTTGTCTAGTGCGAACATTTTGTGAGTAAATACAAACAGAATGAATATGACATTTAGCAGGTAGGTTACATTTTATTTACAGGTAATAGCCAGGCTATAGGTATATAGTATATGACAACAATTTGCCGACAAAAATTATAAGCAAATTATTTACAACATTTCAAACAAAAAAACTCTAAAACCCATCAATATACATGCAAATTAAAACGGTTAAACGGTTTAAATCAATTAAAACATTTGTTTTGATCATTTAAACGTGATAAAATGTTTACAAGACATGCAAGTCTTAATACAATCAGTTTAATGACGGGAATAGTTCCGCCATTTTGTTTGTTTACATTGTGTAGACAAGGGGAGAGAACTAACAGTTACATCACTACACATCCTCCCCACTATAATTTCCTTCAGAGTTTGATCCACTGTGGGGATGGTCATACAACAACACGTCATATCCCAGCCTGTAGACAGTCGCTCCACTGGAGCCTGGACATGTACATGTTGTGTACCAGTACCTGATGTACTTGCTGTAATTGCCATAATCCCTCTCACGTTTGTGTGTCCATTGTCCTACAGAGACCTGTTTAGGACAGCCATGAGGATGTGACACTATAACGGTCAACTTGTCCACATCAAAAAATCTCCTGTATTTGTTCTCTACTTCCTCACATAGATCATGAAAGTGCCAACGCATCTTGTACAGTTCATCAACCAACTCTAAGTCACATGTCACATATCTCAACATACACCTGTCTTTCTCAATGTTTGCCTCATCCCACACCTCCCAGCCATCAAGACTGACCACTGGACTTTTATTATCATCAAAACCTAAAACACACCTGGTCTGTCTCGCCTCACTCTCATCAAACACCACGTGTGTGGCTGTCAACACATAAACCTCCCCCCACACTTTGCTGGGTGTGGCAGAGACTTGACACTTGGCACAACGACAAGTTCCCCATATGTCACTCTCTGTGGACTTGTACACACTACACACCCTCCCCGTCCCTAACCTCATCACGTGACGTCCTCTGTCTTTATAACATGGATATGGAACTTGAGTGCCTGGGTAAAACTCAGGTCTCTCTAGACTGGTGAATTTAGTCTTTACCTGGACAGTTAGGGCTGCCAATGTTTTGATTGTCTCAAACATAAGGTCGTCAGGGTAACGTGAGGGGAGACAACTTGCGTTGAAATCTTTAAGAGGTATAAAACCTTTGTGTCCTGGATTCTTCTTACAGCCAGTAACATGTTTGTGTAGATCAGCTTCTCCTCCGTAGCACATCTCAGCTTCATGATTTCCTACAGGAAGAAACAACAAATTATTTCTCTAGCAACAGAAATGTTAGACAATGATAAACTGCATTTTAATGGAACAAGTTTACTACAGTCATTTAGATATTAAACTAGCACATATATTAAACTGTTTACATTATAATTGCCTTAACTGTTTTAGTATATCTTACCTGGATGAAATACACCTGATTCTTTAATCTTTATTTGCTTGTTTTGAATTTCACAGCTTGCCAGAACTGAAACAATGTATAAGTTTAATTTCCAACTTACAGAAAAAAAACAATGCTACAAAAGTGCTAATTTAATAATATCGAATAATTTAAATTTTACAGACATATATTTCTAAATTTTCACTTTCTACTACATCTTTAACATTCAATCGCCCTTTATAATGTGTTGCAAAAATGTTTTTAAACAGCCAATGTGAAAAAATGCCCTCTGTGCCTACAGCTACTGTTGTGAAATAGAGCTATAATTATTATGACATTTATTGTAACAGTACACACATTTTTTAACTGTACAGCTTAATAAGCAATAACAGATGATTTTAGAATTGTAAAATAAATTACCTGACCATTTTTAAATGAATTTAAATCAACTTTTTTCTTACCTGAACTGCGTGGCTCCTGTTTCCTTTTTGGCTTTCTGTAGGAATTGCCCATGGCCAATACTGCTGTAGTATAAAATAAGTAACATTATATACCAGTAATAATCTTAACAATTATTTAAAAATCTTAAGATTTATTTTAAATCTAAAAATGATACTATAGAAAATTGAAAATGTTTAAATAAGCAAAATAGGTAATAACTTTAGGCTTTATAGTATCAAATTTTTATATACTAAGCAGTCTATATAAAAATAAAATATTAATGTAAATAGCAATACTTATTTCTTCTTGTCTAACAAATAAAAAAAATGTAAGTTTCTAAATTTTTGAACACTTACAACTTGGAGACTATTAAATGTTTCAGCTTGAACCTTGAATACAAACACCTTTCTGTTCTCAAGTAAATGTTGTAAGAATAAACAGATAGCTGTCCGACCTTGAAATCATGCTCTGAAATAATACAATATAGTATAACAACATATGTCATATAATACAGACATACCATATAATATAATTAATTTTTACTCTTTATTGATAACAGTGGTGGTGAAGGAAATTCACAAATGTGACTAATTTTTGTTATACAAATTATATTACCAAGTAAGCTATGTAGGCCTACTTGAGTTTGTTTAAAATTTAATGTTTTACCAAAAATGAGTTTAAATTTAAATAAATTAAATTATGTAACATTTATCAACATTTTTATCAAAATTCAAAGAATTAAATAAAGCTTACAATATTCACACAATTCAAACACTTTAATGTTGTCATTAAACACAACCTCTTTTCTTGTTAGGACGGAACGGCATTTGAACACACAGGAGAATCAAAACTTCAACACCTGAAAGCATACAATTAAGGCTAGATAAACACAGGAACCCTTTAAACTTTAAAAGTATTATAAAGTAAATAAAGTCATGTAATTAGCTGGAGATTGTGTTAAGACATTTAGCACCCTTTACTTATACAAGTAGGCCCTCCATTATATGTCAATGACTGTAAGATATTTAACCACAACCTAAGCTAGTGGCTGCTAACCCATGTCAAGAGAAGGTCTAGATCTAGAATTTTAAAAAAATTTCTTTAAACTAGAGCTAGTGTGTGGTAACATACAAAAATTACTTTTTAAAACTATTCTAACCGTCTAACAACTCTAACCCTATGTCAGTCTATAACTCTAGGACTCTAGGATGGTTACCACTTCACTAATTTAGCCATGGATTTGAATATAGATCTAGACAGACTATGGGGAAACTAGTCTAGTTTTTAAGAGCTAGAAATCTAGATCTAGTCTAGCTAGATTAGTCTAGAAAACTCTAAAACTCTAGAATTCAAGATCTAGATTCTAGACTTACTGAATTCTAAATCTACTAGTTACTAGAGTCTAGATTTCTAGATCTAGTAGATTCTAAATACTAGACTAGATCTAGATTCTAGATCTACTTACTAGAGCCTGGATTGTGATCTAGATCTAGAGTTTTTTGCCGATCTGCACAACGCCGCAGTCACTCTCTGGTTTTCGGCCTAGACTCTAGATCTATAGATTATCTAGATCTAGCTACTTTATTTTGATGTTTTATGCAAAACCGCAGTGTTTGAAATTTGATCTAGATCTCTAGTTAGTAACTATTACTTCACTCTATTACTATTAGTATTAGATAATTAGAGTCAAGTCTAGATTTTAAATCTAGAGAGCGAGAGATCTAGATTCTATCTAGATCTGGAAGAATATTATAATATATAGATCTAGGCCTATAAATAATATATACGATTATATACTATAGAGTCAGTATATAATTATAAGAATATTTATAAGATCTAGATCTAGATCTAGATTTTTTCTAGTCTAGATAAAAAACCTACAATCTAGATCTAGATCTTTTATATTATAGATCTAAAGAATATATCTAATCTAGAATAGATCTACTGATCTAGGGCCTACTACCATTGTCTAGATTAGATATCTATTATCTATCTAACTATCTAGATCTAGATATAATCTAGATCTAGATCTAGATCTAGATCATACACTCTGACCAACAAGATTTAGATCTAGATCTAGAGATCTAGATCTAGAATTAGATCTAGATATCTCTAGATCTAGAATCTAGATCTAGATTCATCTAGATCTAGATCTAGATCTAGCTAGTCTAGATCTACTCTAGAAATCTAGAAATTTAGATTAAGTGTAGATAATGATATCTAGATCTAGATCTAGATCTAGATCTAGATCTAGTAGATTTCTAATCGTTTTACATTTTAGATCTAGATCTAGATCTATTTAATTAATTAATTAACAGGTTTCATGCTAGGCCTACGTACTCCAAGTAGATCTAGACCTAGATCTAGATCTAGATCTAGAAATCTAGATTCTAGATCTAATCTACCAGTTTGCTAATGCAACGAAGCAAAATGATCGTCTGCTGTCTAACTAGTTTTGCTTTTAAAAGTATCGATATCATCATTTATTTTTGAGTATGCCATTTAGGCCTTGAGTTTATAGAAATAAGGCAATAGGGCCTATACAATACATTATTATCTCTTTAACAAGTTAGGAATCTTAAAGTTAAAATCAGCATATTATAAAAAAATCATCTTTCATTTAAATTTCAACCTATTGTAGAGTCATAATATGCATCTTGATATAAGTAGAATGATTAATTATTTTGAATATGGATATGGTCCACATTTGCATACATAAATACTTTATCTAAATAGTCACCCCTCCCCCTAAGCACGTATACCGTGCCCTTAAGCGAAATATAATTTAGGGGCCTATATAGAAAACATACTTTTACCAGTGGCCGCCCCCAGTGTTTCATCCCAACCCCCGAAAATTTCATCTCCTCCGTGGAGCAAAGCGTCTGAACGAAACACTGGTCGCATTTGTAGATAACACAGATTAAAGGTAGACCCTACTTCTATATTATAGACCCGTTTCCTACTTTGGCCACTAAGGGGCGTCCATAAATGACGTCACACTTGTAGGGGGGGGTCATCCATAAATGACGTCACGCTTTTTTTGACGATTTTTACCTCCCCCCTCCCCTCCGTCACACGTCGTCACAAAAAGCCAGACCCCCCCCCCCTAAAATGACGTCGCACATCAACCTACAACCCCCCTCAAAATTGCAGTTGAATTTTTTTAAAACATCGATATTTTTCCAAAATCTTGTCTAAACTATTACAATGTATTAAAACAGTTATCTAAAACGCGAAATAACGTCAAAAATATGTTTTCTAACATTGCTTATTTATAATGCAAAAATGTGACGTCGCAACAGCTGATCCCCCCTCCCCCTCATCACACATCGTCACAAATTTACGGACCCCCCCTCCCCCCTACAAGTGTGACGACATTTATGGATGACCCCTAGGGGTGAGAAAGTGAGGGGGGGGGGGGGGGGGGTTCAGATGGTGTGATGTCACACTTTTGCATTATAAAAAAAGCAATGTTAGAAAACGAGTTTTAGCCGTTATTTGGCGTTTTACAAGACGGTTTACATAAATTGTAATAGGAATTGATCAAAATACTCTATGTTGACATAGTTCTGACAAGATTGGTGGGGGTTATAGACTGAGGTGTGGCGTCATTTTAGGGGGGGGGGTTCTGGCTTTTTGTGACGATGTGTGACGGAGGGGAGGGGGATGTAAAAATCGTCAAAAATGAAATGATGTTTTTTTCAGACATTTTTTCTCCGAGAGTAGAGGGGGGGGGGGGACTATACATTTTGAGCGGGGCGTGCAGATAAATTTCTCAGGGTGGAGGGCCTGACACAAATAAAAGTTTATATTTTCTATCTAAACTAGCAATTGGTACCCGTTACACGGGCAATTCTGATAACTTTTTCTTTTAGATATTCATTTCCAGGGAGCGGCATTTAAAACTGTCCGAAGGGCGAGGGGGGTTGGAAAGGGGGGGGGGGGGGGGGTAGCGGATACTGGTTTTTCTATATTTTTTAAAATGAATTTCCCCTTTTCAATATCGTTCGGAGGTGAAAGGGGGAGAAACGGTAGAGATGCCTGAAATAAACATATATATCTACAGAAAGTGAGTATCGAAATGAATTATAATTCAGCTGTTTTAAAAGTCATTATCGGAAACTTAGGAAAAGAAACATCTTATTGATCAAGAGCATTGGAATGAAACATTGTTAAGATTATGAAAAAGAAGGGGCTTTGTTTTATCTAATGCAGTGGCGTAGGCAGGGGGGGGGGTTAGGGGGGGTCATAACCCCCCCATAGACCCCTCGGTTTATATATATAAAGTGTGAGGGGGGGGGTGCAAATCGAAAGTTTGTCCCCTGGTAAAAATTGGACCCCCCCCCCCTTGAGACGATCCTGGCTACGCCACTGATCTAATGTCTATGTTTATACTTGTTTAAAGTAACACACACTACCAATACCTATTGGAAAAATTAAAACCAAATTATATATTGTATTAATCAACACAATACCATATGTGTTTGTGTGTGTGTGTGTGTGAAAGATTGGACAACCCCACACTTTAGGCGATCCTGGCTACGCCACTGATCAATAGAATCAATGAGTTTATGTAGGGGTCACTCGTTGCATATCAGTAGGCAACATTACGACATAATTAATCAGTAATTATATTATATATATATATATATATATATATATATATATATATATATATATATATAAGTAGGTAGTATGAATGGGGAAGAGGAGAGGAATGCTGCATAGAAACTTGATATCGGTATTAATTTTAAAATACAGGTTGTTTGTTTTTTTTGGGTCACCCGATTTTGAGTTATTTCTTATGAAGGGAAAAATTAAATCTGCAATTTTATATAGATGTATGCAGACATAAAAATGTTTCATTTAATAAGCCCTATTTATATTTAAGTAAAAAATCAAATAAACTATATTAATAAAACTAGGTAGAGAAATAGTAAGCACATACCTTCAGCAGCAGTTCGTATAGGGCTATATTGAACTGGAATGGCGATTCCTCAGAAAGTATTATTTTTAGTACCACGTAAAGTCCGGGAATATGAGGTTTTCCCGATTTTATTTCATGTTTGACATTTCCGTTTATATGGTACTTCATCAACATACGTACAAAATGCGAAACAATAAACAATATAACTAAAATCAGTTATGTAAAATAAATAAACAGTTTTAAAATATTATTTAACATTATTTTATGTTGTATTTTAAGGCTCCATTCTTATTTTTATTAATATAACATATAACAATCACTGGTTTGAAAACAATATTGAATTTTTTTTAACAAAGCAAACACTTTAATATTGTGTATTGTCAATAAACTCGTTATATTAGCTTTTACAGATTTATTTATTGATTATCAATATCCACCTATACATCTCTTTATATATATATATATATATATATATATATATATATATATATATATATATATATATATATATATATATATATATATTATTTATATATATATATATATATATATATATATATATATATATATATATATTTCTGTTTCTGACACAGGGTTGCTCCGGTCGTCGTTTGGCAGTTCTTCAATAAATGATTTGTTTTGCTCACATACCTAGTGTTTTAATTTCAATGTCTTTAAATTTTATACTGGCCAGAATATGTGTGTAATCTTGTTTTGGGTGGTCAGACACGTAGCGACTCGAGCAGCGTGAGCATGGTTTCTGTCTCTTACAGCACGACTGTATGCTCTGGCCTGTCGGGGACACCAGGCATAGAGCTGAACTGTTTATTCTAGTTGTCTCTGTACATGATAACGTGTGGTTTTTCCTTTACTATTTGTATTTGTTTGTGAATTTCAGTATCGCTTGTCATATTGATGATGTTGTTTTGTGTCTCTGGTGTATTAAGTGAGGTTTGCACAATGCTGGCCATTCTGCTGAAATATTTTGATTAACACTGGCCATGTGTCAATCACATTCTATTTAGGAATGTACTCAAACTGGAAAACATGTCAAATCACTTATGTCCAGTTCGTGTGCTAGCTGATGACATGTTTTGTTTTTCCCTTGATTCTCATTTGCTGGTTTAAAAATAACTTACAAAATTTGTGGTTTTACGAGGGTAAATATTGGACATCCGTTGTTATTCCACTGTGGTATGTTTTTAAAAACCTAAATATTGCGGTACTGAGCTGGATTTTCGCTTTCATATCTTTATACAAAATATATATTTATTAGTATTACATGAAAATTAAGCGTCTCCTAAATTTATATAAGAGGACACCTGTTGTTTTCAAATAGCTTGTGTGGTTTTCGATTACATAAAGTATTGAGTCACTTTAATTTAGATAATGTCGATTTTATTTTCGCTACTACTTATTTCTATAAGTAACGAAACAGTTTGATATATTATTGCATTTACTAACAAACATCAGAATATTTTCTTAAATAAACCGGTAGTGATCTCCCCTAAACTTTCTCGAATATTCTTATATAAAACAACAGGGGATGGTAACTGGGGATATAGTTATGATTTTTAATCCATTTTAAATACTGAAACTTTTTAAAATAGAATAGAATCTCAGTAAAAAACAATTGCGCACCAAGCGAACGCCTAATAAAGGTGTGTATAATAGTGCGCAATATTATTAGTACTTTATAAATTCACATGCGTTTTTTGAGAAATCAGAAATAGCGTAAATTATTACTTCCGGTCAACGGAAATTACTCAAAATTTGACAGAAGGTAGAGAATTAGATCTTTTACTTACATGTGAAATTTAATTTATCTATCTGAAATAGTACTCAAGTTATAGGCTTTTGCAAAATTCAAAGTAGAAAAAGTACCACTTCCGGTTGTCGGAAATCGCTCAAAAGTTAATACAGATCTACGATTTTGATAAAATACTTATATATGAAATTTCATCAACCTAGCTGTAACGGTACTCAAGTTATCGTGTTTACACACGGACACACACACACACACACACACAGACATACGGACAAGATTGCAAAATTATGTTTTTCCGTATCAGTGAGATGCAAAACGTCGAGATTTGCAAAAATCTCGATTTTTTTTTTTTGCACGATTACAAGACTTTCTCTATACGAGAAAGTAAAAATATTAATTGTATTCGCAGTATTTCTTACCGTCACTTGATGTCTTAAAATACGTCAACCATATCGTGTATACTTGTTTCAATTTAAGACATTCGTCTAATAATGCGGTACAGCTTGAGTTTACTACTTTTCGATTGTATATAATTTTGATATTATGTGTTAACTATTTTAAAAACGGTGCATTTGCTTTTATTTTTAAATACGATTCAGTGTAATTATACGAGACAAAATCTTTAATCATAACATTTTTCTGCTATAATTCGTAGTTTATAAACTTTAGACATTCTTGGTACACGAACAAATATAAGCAGTTGCATATTGTTCAGCTATTCAGTCACAATACTCTCCACTATAATTTCCTTTAGAGTTTGATCCACTGCAGTGTTTCTTCCAGACTTTTTTCTCCGGGGGGGGGGGCCACTTGAAATCATTTCGTTCGGGGGGGGGGGGGGAGGGGGGTAACATTTTTTCGGGGGGGGCTCCGCCCCCCCCCCCCCCCCCCCTTGAAGAGATACCTGGAAAAAACTCTGATCCACTGTAGGGATGGGGGATACCATCCATTATATTTTAAGTTATAGACAGGTGCTCCACTGGAGCCAGGATATGTACATGTTGTGTACCAGTACCTAGTCCAGTCTTCCCTCTTTTGTTTGAATGTCCATTGTCCTATAGAGACTTGTTTAGGACAACCATGAGGATCAGACACGATAACGGTCAACTTGTCCACATTAACAAAGTTCATGTATTGTTTCTTTACTTCCTCACATAGATCATCAAAATGACATCGGATATTGTTCAGTTCATCAACTAACTTTAGATCACATGTCGTATATTTCAGTTGACACCAGTCTTTCTCAATGTCTACCCACCCCACCTTCCAGCCATCAAAACTTACTCCTGGACTTTTATTGTCATCAAAACCTAAAACACACCTGGTCTGTCTCGCCTCACTGTCATCAAACACCACGTGTGTGGCTGTCAACACACGAACCTCCCCCCATACATTGCTGCAGTGGCGTAGCCAGGAACTGGCCATGTGAGGGGTTCAAAAATGTTTCCATAATATATATATATATATATATATATATATATATATATATATATATATATATATATATATATATATATATATATATATATATATGACTATATACATGACTTATATATAGGGGTCGGGGTCCATGGGAGGGGTTATAACCCCGCTAACCCCCCCCCCCCCTTGCCTACGCCACTGCTTTGCTGGGTGTGGCAGAGACTTGACACTTGGCATAACGACAGGTTCTGTCACTCTCTGTGGACTTGTCCACACACCAAACCATGCCCGTCCCTAACCTCATCACGTGGCTTCCTCTGTCATTATAACATGGATATGGAACTTTAGTGCCTGGGTAAAACTCTGGTCTCTTTAGACTGGTGAATTAAGCCTTTACCTGGACAGTTAGGGCTGCCAATGTTTTGTTTGTCTTAAACATGAGGTCGTCGTCATGGTAACGAGAGGGGAGACAGCTTGCATTGAAATCTTTAAGAGGTATAAAACCTTTATGACCTGGATTCTTATCACAGTCAGTAACATGTTTGTGTAGATCAGCTTCTCCTCCTTAGCACATCTCAGCTTCATGTTTTCCTATAAGTTCAAGGATAGATTATATTATTTATATGAACATACGGAAAATGATTATGGTGTATATAAATTATAAGATTATCATTTAAACATAATCAAACTCATTTAAGGCTCAAAATAATTAAGTTTAATAAATATGTGTTTTACCGCTGACAAAATCGTAAATTAAAGAAATATAAAAATACTTAAGAGCAACAAGATTTTAAAGGCACTGAAAATTAGAAAATAAAGCTAATCTGGTTCCTTTCAAAACAGCTTTGGTCGCTCATGAACTCTTTTACATATTAATCACATTTATAGAGACCAAATGTACGTTTTAGTACGTAAAAGATCTCATGAGTATTTATTTATATTTGTATTAATTTGATTTCCGTCATGCTAAGTGTATAAAAGCTAAACAAAACATACATGCTTTGTCAATTGTTATAAAACTGTTGTGGCTATCACAGCATTGTAAATCTGCAACAAATAAATTTGAGTAAGTTATTTTGACAACATACATTAGTAAATAATGACCGGGCTAATAGTCAATTAAAGTATTTTTATATTTTTCTGGTAGTATAGATTTCAAAGCTACCTAAGCCTTTTAATGTAAAAGAATTATTAATTCGTATATTTTTTTTTTAATTTATTTCTAAATAGCCAGACCTTTTTGTGAATGAAAAATATGTTGTTTTTTTTACCTGCACTACTTGATTCAAATTTTGGTTTATTTTCTGTTGTAGTTTCCCATGTCTTATGTTCCAGTAATTATCTTAAAACAATAGGTAATACGATTTAAAGTTATATTCAATTATTAAATATGTCCCACTTTATCAAACTAAAAATGGTAGGTAAATTATGTAAGTTGATAATAATGACTTTAATACTTGCAAAGTATTTCAGAAAATGAAAATATAAACTATGAAAAATAATATTTATTACACTTTTTGGCATGGTTAAAACGTTTTTTCTTTAGTATTGACAGTTACAGGACCAATACTCATCAGTTTCCTCTGTTAGATAAACACGATATTTTTAAAAAAAATCTTATTCAATAAAAAATGTAATCATTTTTTTCCAAATTTGGTACTTTGGTGAAATTGACAAAGCAAAGTGTTTACGTATACCATGTAAGTAGTCATATGCGTTCACGTATAGTAAAATGCTTTAATTAACTTGAAAATCTGACATGAGTTTGAGATTCGTAACATTATTTTTTTAACAATGCAAACATCTTATTAAATGAAATCTCGAAGCGTATAAAGGCTAACACACATGTTTTTTGATGGTTAGTTTAAGATTAGAGATGTTTATTGAGTTTTTTGAGGCAGGCAATTATGCTAAGTAGTTTATAATGGTAATAAATGTTGTAAACATTTTACTAATCCCCCCCCCCCCTCTCTCTCTCTCT